ACATTCACTCATGTGAACTTTAAGAACAGGCAATTGTAACCTATGGGAATAGACATCAGAACAGTGATTAAGAGGACGCAGGGTGGGAATTGCCTGAAAAGGGGCTCTAACAGGCCTTTCTCAAATGATGGCAATTTTCTATAACTTGAGCTGGGTGGTGATTACATTTATCAAAATCAAACGAATTGCACTAAAGATTTGTGCACTTTATGTGAACTGTAGTTTATTTACTGTTCTCATTGCTTGAACCTGGGAGACGGAGGTTGCAGAGAGCCGAGATTGAGCCATGGCACTCAAACCTGGGTGATAGAACAAGACTACATCTCAAAAATCATAATAATAGAAATAATTTACTGTTCTCATAAAAATCAGCTGATGGGGAATGGAGGCAAGCTGGTGTAGACCATGACAAATAGTTTAGATTTTATTGTAAACTCATTAAATGCCCATTCTCGTTTTGTGTTTTAAAAAAATTCCACTGATACAGCCGTTTTCTCTACCAGAAAAGACTATAATCGCATTATTTCATCAGTGAAAGCTACAGACAAAAGACCCTTAAGAGGCGGCATCTTCACCTATGAGAATTTTTTCTGCTCAATTGTGAGATAAAGGGCATGTCCAAGCTTTCCTTTTGGCCAGGCCGCCCCCTAGTTTATGCACTGTGGGCTAAACTTCAGAAGCTGGCGCCCTTCCAGGCCAGTGGTGTACTCTGCTCTCTGGAGGCTGCTAGGATTAAAGGCGAAGGAAAGGACAGGTCTATTAGCCACAATCACAGGATAGAAAACACTGCTGTGACTCAGATTAGAACCCAGGTTGTGGGAACCACAACTACAAGTATTAACCACTACACGACCACAAGGCCTGCTGACAACCATTGTACTTCTTATATTTTTTAAATGTAAAAACACTCACACTATTTCCTATGCCTTATTCTTTGATGTCTGCAAATTATCGTGCTTTTCTCTCTTTCATGTGCTTCTCCGTTTCTTTCTCCCCATTCTGCTACATAATTTAAAAAAATCTCATTTCTCAGGATCTGGCCACTGCCTCTACAGCAAGCCTCCTGGGAGGTCTGGTTGTCCCATCAACACCTCTGCCTTCTTCCGCTCCGTGTTTTTTTGGTTAGTTTGTTTGTTTGTTTTGAGGGAGTCTCGCTTTGTCGCTCAGGCTGGAGTGCAGTAGCCCAATCTTGGCTCACTGCAACCTCTGCCTCCCCGGTTCAAGCGATTCTCCTGCCTCAGCCTTCCAAGTAGCTGGAATAGCAGGTGCATGCCAACACATGCAGCTAATTTTTGTATTTTTTGTAGAGACGGGATTTCACCATATTAGCCAGGCTGGTCTTGAACTCTTGAACTCAAGTGATCCTTCCGCCTAGGCCTTACAAACTGCTGGGATTAGAGGCGTGAGCCACTGTGCCCGGCCAAATTTCAGGCCAACACCTGTTGACACACATTGCCAGACACACGGAATCCCTCGCAGAACATCAATGGGCCCACAAAACACGTGGAGGCCAAGGTGGCTGACGATGTTAGCAAATTCAGTTCACGGTGTCTGGGGTACAGCCCCGAGGGTCCACTGGCTACCTCTATGCAAGGACCAGTCTCCGCTGCTCCCCAGACACCTCTTTCTTTGGGCCGCTGAGGCCTCTTGGACCTCTGAGGTGACTGCCCGCCCGCAGCTTCTCTCCTTCCAGGAGCTTCATTTGTCCATCCTCTCCATAGTGGCTCAGCGGTAAGCCCAAGGTCCAGCATGGGAATCAGAAACCTGATGGTTCTTTGGGTTTGCAGGGATCTACCCAGAGAATAGATGAAAGTAACAGGTACCAATATCAAAACTGCAGTGACTCACAAGAAACACTCCGTGCTTGCCACTTTGCTAAGCAGTTTGTTGAGTCCAACAGCTCAGCTGCATGGGTCTTGGGTTAGTCTCCTGAATGTCTTTGCTGCTACTTTGGTGAGTGTTGTCGTCATTTTACCTTGTGGTGGCGAAGGCCCTAAATGCACTATTAGGTTATGCAGTATAATTTTTCCAGGAAGATGGGTAAAAAGTCACAGTGAAGTTAAAAACACCTATTGCATTGTCCAGGATTATGAACCCAGGTCTCCCACATGGGAGGCGGGAAGTCTACCACTGAACTACCAATGCCTCTCCCTACCAATTGCCTGGAGGATAACTGAAAAGAGTATCCAGAAAGACTTAGAAACTTGCAAGTGGCTTTTTCAAGTGTCGACTAAAAGCTAACAAAGACATCCAAACCAAATGTTTTTATAGGAAACTTTTACTAGACAAAGTTATAAATATCAAAACAGCTCATTCGTCGGATCAAACTCTTAACTCTGAAAAAAGTCTTTCTACCTGCATTACAAACCCTATAATAAAACATCAGAAATTCATTCATGTTTCTTTTCTCTAATCCTAAATCTTCAATTCTCAACCTCAAACTGCTGCCTTAGTGTCTGAGAAGGTAACCTAACTGATAGCTTAGGTAAGTAAAGTTCAAATCCAGGGAGGAAAAAAGAAGCAGAAGTAGAATTAGAAGAAAGAGGAAATGAAAGGACAGAATCAAGGTAGAGATAATGAAGAAACAAAGGTTGGTCCACTGAGTTAGTCTTTTGTTGCTGGTTTTTTTTTTTGGCAAAAGAGTAATGATCGGTCGTATAATCATTATAATACTATTATTTGTCTGCTTGAAGATGTATAAAGCACTTGAAGGAAATGTGATATAAAAAGATTAATAATGCTTGCAGTCAATATTGTTAGGGAGATTCCAATTTCCTAAGTTAACATGCTTTGATGTATTAGCTATTTAAGGAGTAGACTAGTTTAAGGAAATATTGACGGTCAAAATATTAACATATTAGTCTTTTGATGAAGTTCAAATAGTAGAGAGATTTCTTTCCTCAATTTTCCCTGGAGAGATTAAACTGAAGAGAAAAATCCAGGGTTTGTCCCACATGTTGGGTCTGGGAGTCATTATGACTTTTTCAAAGACAGGAGCTGTGTGTGACATGGAATCATGCTTCTTCTCTAGCTGAGAAGCCAAGCTAGGTCCAGGCTGAGTCATAAACTTGAGTCCAACAAGGAAATCACCCTTCACCTTGACCTCAAAGAGCTTTGGCTGTTCTCTGTTCTTTGCCCAACACCCAAGACACACATCAGCTCTGGCCAACAAACCTTAACATATTATCTGTATCAACCAGAGCTACATGTATTCCCAAATCTCCTTCTAAAATACAAACCTGTACTTTCTACTCTCACTTTCTAAATTTATAAAGACCTCATATGCATCTCAGAGTCACAGATGCTAAAACTCAACACACCAGTGAGTTCCCTGTCAGCATCATGGACCCCCCTCTATCTCAAAACCCAGTGATCAGACCCAAGTACAGCATCTCCCAAAGAGTAGTGCACTGTCCTGGGTGTTTCAACGATCACTAAAACCTGTTTCTACTCCTGCCTAGCACACTTAGGCTTGCAGACTACTACCTTCTCCTTCTGTCCTCTCATGGTGGAGAGAGAGAGAGAGAGAGAGAGAGAGAGCACTTTGGTCTTTATTCCATTTTCTATAATGACACTGATCTCATCATGGAGATCCCATGGTCATGACCTCATCTAACCGGTGAGGACCACCATCCATCCTATTTGCCAAGCCAGATCTTTCTTTGGATAAACTCTCTCGTTTTCACAACACAAAAATTTCAGTTCAATTCAAAAAATAGTGTTTCAGTTTATTGGATACTCCACAAGCTTACTGCCACTTTATTATCACACTTTTCATCTATCAGATCTTGTGTCCATTAACATAAGCAGACCAAAAACTGGACTCCTAGCCAGGCGCAGTGGCTCACGCCTGTAATCCCAGCACTTTGGGAGGATGAGGCGAGCAGATCACAAGGTCAGAAGATTGAGACCATCCTGACTCAGTAGATGGGTGAAACCCATCTCTACTTAAACTACAAAAAAAAAAAAAATCACCTATGGAACTTAAAATGTGGATTCATAGGCCTTAGCTCTACAGCTTTTTTAACAAGCACCTTATGGGATTCTGCTGTTGGTATTTCTCAGGTCTGCAGCAGGGATTGAATGTACAGCTAGTACAGCAGGGATTGAATGACTTCCCTATTAGACCCTGAGCTAGCCATACCATATATGCAATTTCATTTAAGCATCTGCTAACTCCACTACGTAAGTGTTATCATCCTTATTTTATGTAAAAGGAAACTGAAGCTCAAAGAAGTTAAGTGAATAAACTTGTTACAGCCATGTTTCCTTCCACTCAACCCTGGTATGAGTTTGTTGTTGTGGAAAGAATTTATCTGAAATGTCTTGGTGAAAATTAGCTGTTTGGTCCACTTTATTTCTTCAACAAATACAAATGATTTATGTGGCAGGCACTTTTGTAGGCACTTGGGATATGGAATGAATAGGACAGACACAGTCCTGCTCTCAAGAAGGTTATCTCTATCATGTGAGCCAGATATAAAGCAAACAATTATCTAAGTACATTTTCATTGTAATAATAGTTCTGATTAGTGTTATTTATTTATTCTGTATTCCTAAGTCCCAATGGTTTTAAACTGACTGATGATAAATAATAGAACTGCAGAATTTATAACAATAAATTTGTTACAGAAAAGGTCTTATTTTTTTAACAGTGTAAGTACTCTTTTTTATTCCAGAGGCTACTAAAAATTAGAACATATGAGGCTGCGTGGCACAAGTAAAGAAAACTAGCCTGCATGCCTTGAGTCCAAGGTTTCTAGTGATGGTGCTGCCACCAAGAAGCTGTGGAAGTTTGGGCAAGTCTCTTACTCTTCCTGAGCCTTGACTTTCTTGTATATAAAATTAGGGAGCTGTTATAGGTCTCAGGTTGCTTCATGCTCTGGGGTATGTCTGAGTTTATCATGGGCTGAGATGTGGGTAAGAGGTACTAATAGGAACTGCTGTCAGGCCCAGACCTAGCCTTCAATTATGTGTGTTTCCTGCAGCCTTTGCCAAAGCCTCACACCATGCTGAGCCTTTGCCTTGAGAATGCAGAGCTGAAAGAGCAGAAGGAAGAAGCAATGTCTGATGGATGGGAGATCAAGGAAGACAAGGAGAAGGGCGAGGTGATGGTTGAGACTGTGATAACCAAAGAGGGTCTGAGTGAGAGTAGCCTTCAGGCTGAGTTCAGAAAGCTCCAAGGAAAACTGAAGAATGCCCACAATATCATCAACCTCCTCAAAGAACAACTTGTGCTGAGTAGCAAAGAAGGGAATAGTAAACTTACTCCAGAGCTCCTTGTGCATCTGACCAGCACCATCAACAGAATAAACACAGAACTGGTTGGTTCTCCTGGGAAACACCAACACCAAGAGGAGGGGAATGTGAATGTGAAGCCTTGCCCCAGACCCCAGAGACTTGACCTTGGGGCTACCTTCACAGTGGATGCCCACCAAGTAAGTGTGGACTTAGATGGAATGAAAAACAATTGGCGAAGTGCTCGAGATGACAGTGTTTACCTTAAAACATTCTCCCATGTGAATCAGGAGGTACCAAGAGAAGAGTCTCTGCGTACCACAGGCAATAATAATAATATTCTGCCTACATTCAGCCTTTAGAAAGGTTTTTACAATATAAATATTTCTTGAGTACTTAATTTTTCAGATAACACACTAGGCATTGGCATGGGGCAATATAACCAATGGCTGCCCTTGAGATACTTAATGTGGTAAGGAAAGATGGCACACAAACAGGTAATTTTAACAGGATGTGGTAACTGCTGTAACACAGGGATGCATCAGTTAGGAGACAGCCCAGACAAGTAGTATGTAATGACATCCCTTCCTTATCACTGCCATTTTTTTTGTCACAGCCCATCACAGGTGTCTGTTCCTGGGCCTCAGATGGGTTATTGGGATCCTCTTTAGGGAAGTAAGCATGCCAAAGATTCAGTAAAATGGAGAATACAGGGATTCTGAGAGAATCAATGGGACAGAATGCGAGGGGAGATGAGTGGAGGGTTACACCCCTTCTCTTTTGGATCACTGAGAAAATATTTCCTGAGAGCTCCTCTGGAGACTTGATGGGTGCTGTGCTATGTGCTATAGATATAGATATGAAGAAAACGTTATCGCAGTGCTCTAGGAGCTCCATCTGGAAAGCAAGTCACTGCCAAATGGCATGAGAAGTGCTGTGACAGACTTGAGTAAAGTCCAAAGGGTTCAGAAGGGGCGGTGGTCATCACTGCATGGGGGTGACCTCAGACTGTCCTGATCCCTGTATTGGACCATTTCACAGTTGGATAACCAGTCCCAGCCTCGTGACCCTGGGCCTCAGTCAGCGTTTAGCCTACTAGGGTCCACCCAGCACCTGCACTCCCAGCTGTCACAATGCAAACAACGCTATCAAGATCTCCAGGAGAAGCTGCTGCTATCAGAAGCCACTGTCTTTGCTCAGGCTAATGAGCTGGAGAAATACAGAGTTATACTTAGTAAGTAACTGTGACTTACTAGTAAAGTAAGTAGCCTGTGTGTCTTATAACTTCTGTGTGTTCTATACCGACATAACGTGGTTATTGAGCACATGAAGTGTGGCTAGTGCAACTTGAACATTTGGTTTTATTTAATTTTAGTTAATTTAGTATAAAGTGGCCATATGTGGCTACTAATTCTCTTATTGGACAGTACAGGTCTAGGTGTCTTGGGACTCTAAATTAGTTCAGCTCCATTCCACATTTATTGAACCCCCGTGGATAAAGCACTTGCCAGCTTCAATGGGGCTGCTAGAGATGATAGTATACAATCCCTGACTTAAGGATATCTGGTCCCAACTAACACCTAGGTTATCTGAAGGGGAGTATATCAATGGCAAATGCAGGCTCCTCCTGTGGAAAGAAATTCTGCTTCCTGGAGCTGGTGGTCTCTTCTCCCACCAGTTGAAAGAAGCTTCTCTCCCACTGTGGATCTGACCTCCCTGCCCCAAAAGGTTAGGGTATGTGCCATTGAGGCTGAGGGCATATGTGGGAAATTCAGACATTCTGTAACACCTGCTGTCTCTTCCCAAGCAGGTGAGTCCTTGGTGAAGCAGTTCAGCAAGCAGGTCCAGGTGGACCTCCTGGACCTAGGCTATGGGACTTGTGGCCGAAGCAAGAATGAGGCTGAACAGGAGGAAACCACCATTCCCAGTAAGAGCACAGGGTGTGGGGCTCACTTTCCCTCCTTGGAGTCAGCTGTCACATTTGGGTGCTGTTGGCCAGTTCCACATCTGACAAGTAGTGGGGAAGAGGAGGACAGGAGGTTAATAGGAGAACTCTTACCCAAAATGAGGCTGAGTATAAGTTTGAATTTCTACAATTAGTTTTTGGCATACTGATAATAATAATAATAATAATAATTATTATAATAATAAAAAGTTCTATCCAACTGATTATTATAGAAATACCAAGGCCTGCTTAGAGACCAGATGAGGTTTTGGAAACATGCAAACCCTAAGTTAAAAATAATTTTGTTTTGCATTATAAAAGGGCTACAACTATAGGGCCACCCACCACATTGAAAACCAGAAGAGAAGAAAAACACAATCTCTCTTATTCTTGAGGCAGTGTAGTGTGGCAGTTAAGAGAAAAGATCCTGCGGCCAGACTGGTTGGTTCAAATCCCAATTTGTAAACTTTCCTGTGTCCCAGTTTCTTCATATGTTAAAATAGTAATAAAGGAACTGCCTACCCCATCAGGTACCAATGTCAATTAAATAAGTAAATTCTTATAAAATGCTTTAGAACAGTGCCTGGCATCTGGTAAAATGCCATGGTTTAGTTTTCATTCTGACTACCACTGCCTTAATACACTGACGTTAACATGCTGATATATTTATTCAAAGTCTTATTTTCTTATGCCTATTTTTCACACAGTTGTAACCCAATAAACTTTTACATTATAGGAAAATTTAGAGAGCATTTAACTTTTAGCATGCAGGAATAGCTTGTCCTACATTCTTGTGGCCATCCTAAATAGATAAGGCCATGTTAATGTCTTAAGAAACATCAGTGTTTGTGGAACAAACACAGGACATTGGAGGATTTGAATTCTGGTTCTGCCATGTGCTAGTTTGAGTGATCTGGAACAAGCTAGTTTACCACCTCTCTTTAAGTTTTGGTTTCCCCAGTCAGTAAAATAGAAAGTGATGATACCTAACTTGCAGGTATAAGGAGGATAAGAAATATTGTATTTGAATGCCTAGTACAGTGTCGGGGTTGAATAAAGTACTTCTTCAACTTTTTCCCTAGTAATTATTGTCTCAAAGGCAGTGACCACAACAGCACATCCAACTGTTATTCAGGAAGACATCTTTCTCCTTTTTCAGAGTGTGAGGAGCACAACAGCCTCAAGGAGATGGTCCTGATGGAGGGGCTGTGCTCTGAGCAGGGGCGCCGGGGCTCAACGCTGGCTGGTTCCTCCAAGAGGAAGCCCTTGGAGAACCAGCTAGGGAAGCAGGAAGAGTTCTGGGTATATGGAAAGTCAGAAAACATCTCACTCCTAGGAAAGGACATCAAAGATCTGAAGGCCCAGCTGCAGAATGCCAACAAGGTCATTCAAAACCTCAAGAGCCGGGTCCGGTCCCTCCTCTCGGTTACAAGTGATTATTCGTCTAGTCTGGAGAAACCCCGGAAGCTGAGAGCTGTTGGCACCCTGGAGGGGTCTTCACCTCACAGTGTCCCTGATGAGGATGAAGGGTGGCTGTCTGATGGCACTGGGGCTTTCTACTCGCCAGGGCTTCACGCCAAAAAGGACCTGGAGAGTCTCATCCAGAGAGTATCCCAGCTGGAGGCCCAGCTCCCAATAAATGGACTAGAAGGGAAGCTGGCTGAGGAGCTGAGATCAGCCTCATGGCCTGGGTAAGGAGGACACTGTTTGGGCACTTTCTGGATTGAAAATGTGTAAGTTCGTGCTTGGTGTAGGGTAGCTGAGGAAGTTGGAAGAAAGAACATGTCTGGGTATTCACAAGGACACTGATTTAAATGGTAGATATAGGTCTGCGGAAAAGACAGGTAGGCAACCAGGAGGGCATAGGATGATGTCCCAGTATCTGGCAGATAACAGGTCTCAGGGGTTTCGTCTTAGGGATATATTAGTAAAGTAATAGTATATAAGGTATAGTTTAGTAGTAATACCGGAATCAGACTGCCTAGCTCTGATGCTTACTACCCATGCAACCTTCTTAACCTTTCTGAGCCTTAGTCCTTACCTATTAAATGAGGATGATAAGAGAACCCATCTCAAAGGGTGGATATTAGGTTTAAATGAATTTAAACAATTCTGGCCACAGCCTCTTGTATCAGAGTCGCCAAGGAAAACGCAACGCAGTCAAGCACTTGACGGAAAAACAACGCATTATTCACACAGAGAGGAGACAGAGCAGGTATGGGCTCCGCTTCAGTTGTGGGCGTTGGTCCCCCATGGCCAGCAGGTTCCTCCGTTTGGCCTGCACACACAGCCTCTTGAGAAGCAGAAAGGGCCTCGCCCCCTGCCCTCAGAGGGGGGCAGATACAGCAGCTGGCCAGGTGCCAGTTGATGCACATGTTTAAGTGGAACAAAGGGGTACACACTAAGTCAGATCTGGGGAAAGATACTCCCACACAAGGAGGTGAGTACAGCACAGGCTGTGAGGACTCCTTGTCTCTTGGGAAGGAAGTGCTCCAGGCCCAAGCCCCATTTCTACCCAGCAGAGTGGAGGTGGAAAGACCCCTGCAAGAGATTGTCTTTCCCCACACTTTCCTGTTGGCATACAAACTTGGCCACAGGCTCGGAGACAAGCCACTGTAGGCCACAACAAACAGTTTCGAGTTTAAAGTCATTAAAAAGCTTGTTGTTGTTTCATGTGTAACAGCCCCAGTGACTGGAAAACAGGTTCTGATCACACCATTGCCTTCCTGTAAGCCATGACCAACACCGCTGACTGGGTTATTTGCTCTGTGAGGCTCAGAGACAGGAGCGTGCATGTCCAGGGTTTCCCTTGGACTCCTCCCCAGGTTAGTGAGCTGTGAGGTCTCTTCTCCTTCCCCTGACCTGCCCCTAGTGACCAGAAAAATGGTTCTGAGCACACCATTGCCTCCGTGTAAGCCACCAACAGGACTGACTGGGTTATTTGCTGTGTGAGTCTCAGAAACAGGACAGAGCACGTCCAGGGCTTCCCTTGGATTCCTCGCCAGGTTAGTGAGCTGTGAGGTCTCTTTTCCTTCCCCTGACGCACCTGGTTGCTCCGGGGAGCAAAAAGGTATAGCTGACGGCCTGGACAAACGACGCTGCCGTGACTCGGATTCGAACCGAGGTTGCTGCGGCCACAACGCAGAGTACTAACCACTATACGATCACGGCGAGCCACAGGCCAACCGGCGATGTCTGAACTTGCTCTAGTAATTTTGAGGTCAATAGATTTCGATTATTAGGCAGATTTCTTCCCAGACAGCCACAGGGAGCTCGCGCTTTTCTTTCTTTCTTGCCAGCTCTGCTTTTCCCTCCCTTCCTCCCAATCCTCATACGTGATGAGAACAATTCTCATCTCCTTCACTCCAGCCTGGGCCTCCCTGCACCAGCCTCTTTCGGGGGCTCTCTCTGTCCTCGTCCGCACCTCCTCTGCTTCTCTCCCGCCTCTCCGTATTTCTACTTTTCACCCTTCCTCTCTCCCGCCCCACCGACGGAAGCCGAGGTGAGAGAGGGGAGCGCAAGCAGTGTAGAGAATCAGGTGAAGGCGGAGCCAAGAAAGGGAAGAGCCATCACTAGAGCCCACGGGGCGTTCTGCTGGCTTCCCTTGGGACCCACGCGGCTCAGGCCCAGGGAGTCGCCGAGCCGGGCGTTTGCTGGGATGCCGGGTCTGACGCCTGCAAGGGGCAGGACGGGGCGAAGGCCATTCCGCTGCCTTTCCAGCTTCAGAATCACCCAATGCACGGGTTTCAACCGTAGCCGGCAAGATGCGCCTCTCCGGTTTTGCGAGGCTTTGGAGCTGCACAATTGTACTACAAAAGGCGATGGCTCCACCTAACGTTGGATGGGCGCTTGCTCTGCGTGGTGATACGAGAGCGACAGTTGACTGTTCCTGTGTCGCAGTCGGGTAGTGTACTTGCTTCCAAGTCTGGAGGTGGGTGGTTCGAGCCCGTTGTATGGAAC